CTAATAGCCTGATAGTGGGCGCGGCGACAAAAATCTTAGACGTTTCGTCCTATAGTTAGACGGCGGTGACGGACCATAAGGGCTTCTTCGAATACGCCCTTACACGATGAACATTAATTAAGAGACAAGACAAAAATAAAGTTCGTGTTCATAGCCCGTAACTACGTCGATAAACAGTGCTTCGTGTTAAATTGTTTTAAGGAGGCAACTTCATTGTGGAATATTTGGAATGATGACTCACAAAGTGCAACAAAGCGTAAAATAAATAATAATCAGTCGCTCGACGACATTTCGCGAGGTACACGCCGTCGGAACAGGTAACCTACACTATACGCATACACAATGAGATGATTACGATGTCGCTGCAAACAAACACGCTACAACAACGGAATACTATCTACTCGTAAAGTGTTGCGGAACACTAATTTACGCACGCCCTAATTATAACCGAGATAACTGAGCCATTCTTCATACGCAGTCCTTCGTAAGAACGCGGTAATTGAAAGGTGTTGATAATTTAATGAGGCGGTACTTTCGATTCACTAATCGATGTTTTACAAATCTTACATACCGCAGATGCGGCACACTGACCTCCTTCCGTATCATTGATATTCAATAGCGTGTCTAAGTGGACTATTATCATGGTAATGCTAGACTAAAAGGATTTAACACACGTCCGTGTGACTTAATCTGCTATTTATCTTTATTAAATATCTTCGGTCACCATGGGCTCGGCAGTGGGTTGAGTTCTATGTGGATTATATGTTTCTATATGTGCGTTACATAATAAACATTATTCATATAACTTTAGTGCTGCCTTCAGGAAAGGGGACCTTGAATGTTCAACGAATATTGCTTCGAGTGATTACCGGTAACGATAAATGTATAAACTACGTCGTCGTACGACGTCAATAATCTTTTGACGATTGAAAACGTATGCAATACTAAAATAAATTGAATACATTGTACACAGCGTTTCATCACTGAAAATATACACGATAAATGATGGACCAACACAACAATGACAGGAACACCACGTAGCATCTCAAATGATCGTTTTGTAACGTTCTAATGTATAGTGTCGCTGGATACACCAAAAGAAAAAAGTATATGGACATCTTCCGTTCCTACGTTTTAATTTAACGACGGAAGCCGCATGACTCGGCAAGAAAATATCAGATTAATTTTCACCGCTCGCGCCGCAACTAAACGTCCGCGACGTTCAAATAAATTGCTTTACAATTTAGAATAAAAAAAGCTAGAACCATGAACACAGTGAGGCGAACATTGTTACGACGAAGACACTACGTAGAAGCAAACATGATCAAACTAGGAAGCTTTTCGGCACAATAGGAAGAGGAAAACGCATAAAGGCCAGCGAGTTCTCTAAAAACAAAACAGTAATCCATTAATTCTAAAATTATTTTCTTTAATTAAAACAAAAGTCTATAATGTATTACATTAGCTCGTCATCAGTATCTTTTAACCGAAAATTCTTGTAGGAAATGTTAACACGTAACTAAGACTTACAAATAACGTGCAATTAAACCCTTTATGTAATTAGGTTGTAATGTAAAGGGTTCCAATAAAAGGTAGTCGAACAATTCTAGCAACTGGAAGAGATCTGCCGTTGCCGTGTTGGCTTGCATCCAGTTCCACTGAACTTTGACAACGACTCGGCTGTAAATTACATTACACGTCCGTCCTTCGCTTTCACTGACTACAAACATAAATGCATTATATTAATATCGGGAACATTATAACTTAACAATATACAACAAACAGTAATTAAATAAAGATATTTGAATAGTGAACCATACATGCTTCAACTTTTTCCTGTATAAACGCATATGTCCGACCAGCCTTGCAAGTTTTAAGTGTAAAGAGGTCGACGTTCTTCCAATACATACATTCCTTTCCCTTTCAGAATTTTTGATTGCCTCCAGGCACAAAACAAGAACAAAGGTGTAATAAGGGGCGCCGAACATTAAATTTCACTTTAAAATATTCCTTTATATGATGCCTTGACATGCTCAACGAAGCAGTAAATATCAAAAAGTGAACTGAAAGTTCTATTAGATTTAAGTACTCGGATAGGCCTCTCATAAAATCTCATGTAACATAATTACGATGTTAGATGTTTAAATGATTAATAGATTTTTGTGTGTTACTAATCACTTTACTACATTTGATTGCAACTTGTGTAGACGTGTCGATCAAATCGAAGTTCAATTAAGAATGTTACCCATCTCATCATGCTTGGCCAGGGCGCGACGAATCGCGCCGATTACCGAAATCAGTACGAATACGTGACGGCAGCCGAGATCAAAAATCGATGCTTCATACGACATTTACCTTGAATGCGTAACTGTCAACACCATTAAGACTATATTCATGTTTAACTCGTAACAAGTCTAGCAATGTCTACAAAAGATCTAATCAAAAAGCGTGACCAAACGTCACAATTGTGAGACGGCGACAGGATTACGCAACAAGACATCTGAGGGCTGATAAAAGGTTGACCTCAGCCGGGAGTGTGGGCGTGCTTAGAAAATGATAATCCTACAGTCCGGGGTCCACGAACCACGCAGGAATGCAAATAAATAGATGCGCATAGCAGGACGAGCACACCTGCCGTTCATCGCATCAGTGGAATAAACAATACGCGTTGCGCACGACACAGACGGCCTGTGATCGCGATAAAGGCTTATTTTCCTTCCGGGACTTTCTATTGATGTAGAGAGGAGACTTGTAAACGCTTTATCGGATTACTTAAATATTTGGTGTTTGAAAACAGTGCTCAGAATGCAAACTGAAGTGACCCAGTTTGGGTGAGTAAAGAACCCGACGTGCTATGAAAAATTACGTGTAGATGTCTTCCTAATCTTCGCCGATATCAACGACCTCTTCGAATTAGTTGGCATGAAATAGTTATTGCGTCTAAACAAAATGACAAACAAATAACATTTACAATACAATGCAGGAGCATTTAAATGCTTGGAATTTACATTTCTTGACGTGTATTTCCAACGCAGCGTTGCTTGAAACCTCGGTATTTGGATTAACGTCGTAGAAATAAATTGCCAACGTTTTCATTTTCCCTTTAATTGATGCTGTCACGTATTTATGTCCATCCATCATCGTTCATGGTTAATTACTCGACCTGTCGGTTGCATATACACCCTCTACCATGTCATTTCATTTTTGATGAATGCGGTAGGCATTCTCATTAACGCATGACATAAATGTTTTTGAAATGAAATTCAATAAAGGTGAGATTTAGTTAAAAGGTACATTTATTTAGTTGTTTTTTTTAGTAAAAAGTAACAAATGGAACGAACGAATCTATGCGAATAGCTTTCAGATAAAATCGGATATCATCAATAGATACTTGGGTATGTTGCTTACTGCGATAACCACAAACAGGCGAGTCTCGTGTTGTCTGCGGGTCGCGGTCGCGGTGTAATCGTCCAGGCTTCCTGCCCTAGCCCTTGATTATGGCTTGTAGCGATGTCATTGTTCGCATTCACCTTTGTGAAGCGTGTGATTTGTATCCCACGAAGATTATTAATATCAAGCCATTAATGTTTATTCCTTAAGAGCAGAAAATAACTTGTATTAAAATATCTTCAACCAATGTTTCCTTTTTATTTTATAAAATCACAAAAAAAAACAGTTATTCATTTCAGTAAAACGCTGAACTATTTTGTACTATGGTATTGGAAACTATAGGAGAAACTTTTATTATGAATCTTTAAATACCAAACGTGAAGAGAAAACTCTGTACCCCTTTTAAAATATATTGCCCGCAAGGAGGAGCTTGACATTTGGCACAGTTAAAATTTAATTGAAATTGTATACATACAATATAAGTTACAATTACTTACATTAAATTAAATAAATCATTCATTGTTTACGTTATACTGCTAATTAATATCAATTGTCAAACATATAATATTCTATGGTCAAACAATCACACAGAGTAGAGAATTTAAAAATATTGCCAAAAAATAATAATTACTGACAGATACTGAATAAGCTGAATTTTTTCGAGATTTCTAATGTTACTTTTTCAAATGCTTTATGTGTATTTCAAGACCAAAAAAAGATTATTTTATATTTTGTAGATATCTGTGTTTAATATGCAGTTGAAAGACTAAAAAAATTTGTGAATTACAATCGAATTTCGGCCTCTGGACGACCACTAGTAAAAAAACTAAACCTTTACCATGCCATGTATTTAAACAAAATCCACAAAAATATTTATAGTCAAATTTGAGAAGCATTTGGGTTCCCTAACCGGAAATGGGATCGATTGCTAATATGAGTGACTCAATCATAACATTTAAATAAGTGGGCCATCTCCGTGCCAGATACACAAGATGATGTTTAAATTTATATCTGCGGTTAGACTATCTAGAAATAAGCGGTCGTCTGCAGCGTGAGAAATGGCGACAGTGTGTCTATTCTTTATGTATTCTTTATATTATAATGGTTAAGTATACGAACTGGGAAATAAAGGTGCTATTCGGAAAAAATTAAATTATTGATGACATAATCAATAATTTTTTTATCCTTTTTCTATCCTTGCGCTTCAAATATAACAATATAATTTTAAAAAGGTAGAAAAAATTCACGCATTAGTGGAAACTCGAAACTGTCGTTCTGTTATAATAAACGGAGCGACCGATGGCAGGCGGTTAGTTTTATTGTTTGGTGATACTCGTAATAATATACACCAAGCCGATTACGGTCACATATTGTAAGCTGTAAAGTTCACACACAAAATTACTAAATTTAGTCGTTCCAAACTTCTCTAAACCCTCTTCCAATGGTCGATCTAATCGTTCGTCTAAAGCTAATACTTTTTATCGCAGAGAAATCTTTATCCTCTCTACCGCGCAACAAAGAAGAAAATGCTGGACTCCCATCTTAAATAAAATCCCAAATAATACCGCCGACGTCAGTATAAGAAATAGGATTACGTTACAGACGGGGCGATGTTAAGAGCGGCCGTGGCGACGCTAGTGTGCCTCAGCGTGGCGCGCGCCTCGCCGGCCGAGCCGCACGGACTACGCGTACACGCTCAGAACTCTTACAACCCAAAGGTAAGCTGATCATAACCATAATTGACGACTCCGTGGCGCAGTGGCTTAGCAATGAGTGGCTGCGCTGGGGGTCGCGGGTTCGAATCCCGCACGGTACAAGTATTTGTGTGGCCTACAAATAATTGTTCCGGGTCTGGATGTTTGTCCTTGTGCAATTTGTGTTTGTAAACTGCCACCACGATACAGGAGAAAATTCTAGTGTAGGGGTAAGGTTTTCAAAAAAAAAATTATTACTTAAACGATCAGTAACTTATGATAAGATCGTAAGCAGTCCACAGGTGAACCAGTGCCTCGTCCTTTTTTGGATATATCGTAAATTCTTCATTTTGTGCGCTGGTTAGCCAGTTCATGTAATCTTTATAGAGAGTGGGTAAAAAAATGTTCTGCAAAGCAAGTTTATTTAATGGTGATACTTATGCGGCAATACATGAAATGCGAGTGGCAGTCCGTTTACTGACGTTCAAAGATGACGCTGACAGTGGTGCCAGATTTTAAAAATTTGCTAAATTTTAAGCAATTTATAGTAAAAACACGAATTTAATATAGCAGCAACATATTTAAATTCATTAATAATATGATGTTTTGGTTATGGTTTTACAGTAAATAATATGTAAAGCTTAGATGCCAATCAGTCATCATAAATTTCAAAGTATGCAAGAAATCCGGGTTTGAACTCCCCTAGTCCCAACGAAATGGAAAATTGTAATTTAGTAAGTACTGATTTAAGTAGACCCGTGTTCGGAAGAAACTTGAGGAAACGTGCATGTCTGAGAAATAAAATATTTCGAGAACATGTGAAGTTTATCAGCAGGTACTGGAGCAGAGGCGGACTACTTGCTCAACGTATAGTGAATTCAAATTTACTTTTATATACTCAAGATATTTGCGTCGTTGCTCATGGGGGGATATTTGCCATAGTTGCCACGCTTGGCGAGCGGGTTGGCAACCGAAGTTTTTTATTATGTTATTGTTGTTATTAGGAAGATGCTGCCGCCCATCTCCTTTCTGTGTCCCTCTGTCGCCTCTTACGACACCCACGGGAAGATATGGGGTAGTGGATATTCTCAACCGCCACTACACAGCTACTCCCTCCACTACGTCTACTACCTCCCGAACAAGCCGGTTTCCGAAAAGGCTTCAGTACCATAGACCACATACATACCCTGCGGCATATTGTACAGAAGACCGAAGAGTACAATCTGCCACTTTGCCTGGCGTATGTGGACTATGAGAAAGCCTTTGATTCCGCCGAAATTTGGGCGGTGCTACAGTTCCTTCAGCGGTGCCAAGTTGACTGTCGGTATATCGAAGTGCTGAAGTGTTTGTACAGTAGGGCTACGATGGCTATCCGAGTACAGAACCCGAGTTCGAAACCTATCCAACTGCAGAGAGGTGTAAAACAGGGTGACGTTATATCCCCGAAACTCTTCACCGCTGCGTTGGAAGACGTTTTCAAGCTACTGGACTGGAAAGGATACGGTATTAACATCAATGGCGAGTACATCACTCACCTTCGATTTGCCGACGATATAGTCCTTATGGCAGAATCGCTGGAGGACCTTAGCACTATGCTCAATGACCTTCAATGGTGTCTCCCAACGGATAGGTCTTAAGATGAACATGGACAAAACAAAGATCATGTTCAATGTCCATGTCACACCTATGCCGGTAGTTGTTGGGAGCACTAAGCTCGAAGTTGTTGATGAGTACGTTTGTTTACCTGGGACAAATAGTCCGGCTAGGTAAGTCCAACTTCGACCGAGAGGTCAATCGACGGATTCAACTCGGCTGGGCAGCGTTCGGGAAATTACGACACATCTTCTCGTCAGGTATACCTCAATCTCTGAAAACTAAAGTGTAAAAGCAACCAGTGCGTGTTGCCAGTGATGACTTACGGATCAGAGACGTGGTCCTTCACTGCTGGCCGTATGAGGACGCTCAAGGTCGCTCAGCGAGCTATGGAGAGGGCTATGCTCGGAGTTTATCTGCGTGATAGACTCAAAAATGAGGATAGAGGCCATATAGCTCGAAGAACCGATAACCGATGGGGAAGAAAGGTTCTCGAGTGGTAGCCTCGTACCGGTAGGCGTAGTGTAGGGCGACACCCCACTAGATGGAGTGACGACCTGGTAAGACATGCAGGAAGTCAATGGATGCAGGTGGCTCAGGACCGTGCTTTGTGGTATTACTTGGGGGAGGCCTATGTTCAGCAGTGGACTTGTGAAGGGCTGTAATGATGATGATGATGATGATACTCAAGATAGTTATATCGACATCTATCGAAAACGATGACTTCTTCCTGGCAGTTTAAAAAAAGAAAGTAACAAATATCTATCATAACTGAATAAGCAAAACCTTAAAAAGCATTATAGCAGGAAACGCAAACGAATTACATATCCTATACCTTTAAACGAGCAATTCTTGTATTTTAATTTTTTTATAAAAAAAAAAAAAATAATTAATTATTTTTTTTTTTTTTTTTTTCTTTCCTCTTTCTCATAATCAGCTATAAATTTTTTTTTAAAAATTTTTTTTTTTATATATATATATATATAATCGGAATCTCGGAAACGGCTCCAACGATTTTCATAAAATTTAGTGTCCAGGGAGTTTCGGGGACAATAAATCAATCTAGCTAGGATTTATTTTTAGAAAATGTTTTTGTCCGTCTTTTTAGGCAATGTAAAACTGCTACAATATAAGAAGGTAAATTTTGACACTGTGTTAATGATTGTAATAGTTCAAGTGGATAACGAGCGGCGGCGAAATCTTAATGCCTTGGTTCGCGTCCCGTCTTTGGTCCGATTTTTTTCCTTTTTTTTTTTAAATTATCTTCTTTTGTGAGAAAATCTATTATTTCGAACCTTTTTTTAGTATTTTTTAAAAATAGGAAAATTTTAATTAAACTAATTCAGTTTTTTCTGTTATGTCAATAAGATCAAAAAATACTATTCATCAGTATGTAATTTGTATCTAAATGTAATTTTAAAATAAAAATCGAGCGCAACTCGGTCATTCGGGTACTAAATATATATATATATATATATATATATATATATATATATATATATATATATATATATATATATATATATATATATATATATTCCTGAAACAAATAATCTACAGGATCTAAATAGCGTTTTGGCCAACATCGACGAGCGCCTGAAACTTCTGGACACAATAAGCGCCGCTCAGGCGAAACAAGCACGGCGCCTAGACGTGATACAAGACAAACTAGGTAAGTTGAAAACTAACACATTTTTAACTTTTGTGGACGGCTACCTTTTTTTAATTTATGAAACGTAATAAGCAAGTATATAGAGTAGAAGATACTTGAAACATACCTTTGTATAATCTTAAAATAAATCGAGCGCTACCACTACCACCATAAAGATGATAATACATGATTGTTCACAAAATATAAAGGATTCATTCGAAAGTAAAGTTAAGCTATTCAGTACTATACGAGTACATATGCATATCACGCCAATTTCAACTTTAGCGAGTCGTACTAAAATGTGACTTAAAATAACTAGAGGAAATTGTATTCTTCGCTATGCATCATCTCTTAGTATCTCATTCACATGAACTGGTAGGTAAATATTCAACAGACGCAGTGAAATAGAAGCGACAGTATCAATGAAATAACTGGATAAATTATCAGATATAGCAGATCGGTCAGTCTGTATTCGCCTATAGGTCCAACAAATCATAATTCAAAACACACTCGATCAGAATGCGATTTAAGCAAACACTATTTAATATGTTTAGCGAGAGTCTCTACTGGTATTAAAAATAACATAAAATTCAGCCCGCAACCAGAGCCTGACTACCCTACAGGCTACATATAAAAGCTTGATTCCAACTCAGACAGACAACAGTGGCACGTAATAAATAGTAAATAAAATATTATAATTTTAGCACATTCCCTCTCCCTTTACTAAGTTTATCCACATACAAAATATACATATAATGTATGTATATGTATGTCACGATTACATTTTATTATCTTCTGACTATATTATGTGAAAACCGGTCTATAAATTGGTTTTCTTTACCTAGTATCCATAGTAAATATTATGTTTCTCTTATTTATTACAAAATACCTTTTATTATTATGGTCCAATATAGAACAAATTGCAGACAATTTCATATCAGATTTTACCAAAATTTTCCTTTAATTTCGTTAAAAGGAACGCTTTTGGTTTAGAATTCTTTGATTTGACCTAAATCTTGCCCAACTACACACCAAACTTTAGCATTCCTGAATGTGTTTGGCCAATTCGTCACTAACTAATATATTGTGTCATATCCTAATTCAGTGACCCGGCGCAGTTTAAAGTTTCGCAATATTGCACCCGTATATCATTTACAATTAGACAAAATAGGGGCGACGCCTAATCAATTGTCGTCAGGAAGAGTAAACGCGGCATGTCGTATGAGTGGATTAATATAAAGGTCTAGGAAGAAGCAAGCAAAAACAGGAAGTTTTAATCGATTTATAATTGGTTGCAGACCGTGTGGAGACTACTCTATCACTGAGACTGGAAAGAGCACAACTCGCAGCTGAGAGGCTAGAACATCGACTGCATATGTTGCAAACTAATGTCCAGGTTTGTATGCTAATTCCTACTAACTTACATAACTATATTTTTTGGAAACTGTACAACATATCTATATCATGACTGTGTAGTGGCGGTGTAGAATATTCACTTTTTTATAGGATAGGGTGACAAACGAGCACACAGTCCACTTGATGGTAATTGGTTGCTGTGGCCCATAGACATCTACATCTATCCTCGATTACGAATCAAAATGCAGATGCCTTGTCACCCGTGATATGAGATGGAATGCCTCGTAAAAAAAGGCTCTCCGGTTCTCTACACTCACCATACGAAACGGCGGCCAATGTTCCTATGTTCAGCAGTTTAATAGGCTGTAAAGGTGTTACAAAAAAAGAAGTAACATCCTATATATTTAAATTGTGATTGATACTTCAGCGAAATATTTCTGCCTGCTAATCATCAGGTTAAGGCTTAAGCGGCTTAATCTCAGTGATGCCGCTTTTAACCTTAAATTAAAACACCGAATTTGGTGTAAGTATGAAGCCTACGCATTTATTCATGTAATAGAAAGGAAAGTTTTCGGCACGAAACAATAATGAAGCTGTTTATATATAAGTGTTGTATATATCTGTTTATATATAATATATAATAAGCTTTATTTTTTACTTCTTTTATTTAAGCTGAATCATCTTAAGACAATGCGTGTTGGAAGATCGCACATGTCCTCGGAATATTTTGTTCCCTAGACATGCGAGTTTCCCCACGATGTTTTCCTTCAACCCTGACCACATGGTATGTTAAGCACTTAAAGTTGCAATTACATAACCATTTCATTAGCGCCAGCGGTGATTGATCGAGGTTTGTTTGCATATTGTAAAATTGATGAGTGCTTATCCCCTATGCTAGCGGCTATACATAATACTTGAACGTACAAATCAATGCCAGTAAATATAATTAGTTTTCTTAAGTACCCAAAAATATTACATATCTTTGGCATGGTAAATATTTTGAAGATGTGAAAGAACGCTAACTCTGCCCTGCTCAATTCTCAAAATCTAAAAAAGGAACCAAACTAAAAGTGAATACATGGTCAGAAAATAAAACGTGACAGACTAATGGTTTCCCTTTATTCAAGACTTGTTATTTCGTTTCGATTCAGTTTCATCGATGTTAAAGACTGGTGGACATTGCCTTTTCAATAAAACGAATTGACGAATGCAGTACCAGAGATGTCGCACCTTTTACGCATTTATCAAATTGTTTGTCTAGCTCTGTGCCAGTCTATCAGGGCCCGTGTACATTGCAGTGAAGTGAAACACATTATCTGCGCTAAATTTCGTCTAAATTGGACAATTGATGTGCACATAGTGTATAGATTGAATTCCGTGCCTCTAGCTAGATGTTCATATAGACACAAATTTGTATATGTGTATAGAAGGTGAAAAAAGATAATAAATGTTAAGACTGATGTTCAATTGGGGCGAAGCATTCTTATACCTGACCCTGATGCAATTATTTTAGCCTATTTCTAAACAAGGAGGTTTTCAATTCGACCGTATGTTATTTTTTGTATGTTAGTAAAAACCGTAGACCCTTTTTACTGGAAACGAGGCATTCTATCTTAGTCCTCATGGGTGACAATACATCTGCATTTTGAATCTTAATAGAGGATAAACGTACATGTCTATTATAGGCCACAGCATCCACTTACCATCAGTTGGACTGTAAGCTTGTTTGTCACCTATATTCTATAAAAAAAAATCCGAACGCGTTACTTTCGTCGATTGTGAACCGATTGAAATTATTCTTTTTAGATTACACTTCAGGGATGATAAGTTTTAGATATTCCTTAGATAAATCAAAAGAATCAAAAACTAAAACTTGTAATAAAAATAAAAAGCTGACTTCAAAGAACTAAAAAAATTCTTCCTCAGCACTATTCTCTGGAGCCGATTATTAAAAGTTTAATTTTAACATTTAATGAACGTTATACAGGCTGTTAGTGTAAACACCGTTATCCTTGAAACTAGTGGTTTGGTTTCACTTATAGAACGTAAATTCAATGAATTTAAAAAAAACGCTATTTTCTTTCATAAAATTTAAAAAGTTTTTGTCCGACACCGTCCGTAAATTCATGGATACCCTATGCGCCCGAGTGACGTAATCACTGTAAAGATCACCCCCGCGCTAGCTACCTACACAACCTGTGATGTAACTTTTCCTTCATACTTTCATCCTGGCTTAGGACATGCAAAAATTGAGGAATTAAGGAAAAATTAAAATTTTACTAAAAAAATGTAATTTTCCATTGAATTTACGTTCTATAAGTGAAACCAAACCACTGGTTTCAAGGATAACGGTGTTTACACTAACACTCTGTATATTAAATATTATAATACTAAAGTAACTCTGCCGCACTCTTGTCAACAACACGAACATGCCTAGTTTCATAATAAACAAACAATGTAACTCAGTCAATGTATATGTGTACTAATTGTAATAAATTTCAATTGCAGGCGTCTATTAAAGAGAGCAGCGAGAAAATAGAGCGGAGCCAGATTAAAATTGCCGAAATTGCCCAGAATTTAACAAATCATATCAACTCTCACAAACACTTGCTTGAGAAGGTATGTAGGACTAAGTATAATATATTCTTTTGACTATTTCCATTTAATAAAAATTTGATCAAAACTATTTAGAATTTTTAGAATGTGTATTTTCTATAGCATAAACATCATAATTACAATATAATATTTTGAACAGTATTCAGTGAGAGCTATTAATTTTTTTCTCATGGTGCGTTATATAAAAATTTCAGACTATGCATACATTGCAAACTCCTTTCAAACTTAAAAGTAAATTGAAGTAAACTTACAGCCTATATACGTCCCACAACTGGGCACAGGCCTCCCCTCATTTTTGAGAGGGTTTTAGGGCAAGGAAGTGTCCACCACGCTGCCCCAATGCGTGTTGGCGAACTTCACATGTCTTCGAAATATTTTTTCTCATTCCTCAGACATGCATTTCCTCACGATGTTTTCCTTCACCGGCGAGCACGTGGTAAATCAGCACTTAAAATTGCAATTAACAATTTCATTTGTGCCGGCGGAGATCGAACCCGGGTTACACGCGTTTTGTTACATTTACAGCGAGCGTGAACCATCTGAGCTACCACGGCTCTATCTTTAAAACTTAATATTACCACAATTAAGCTTCTTCATTTAAATTCATTCAGCTCCATAACCACTGTATATATTACTAGTAACTAGCTGGCCCGGTAGACGTTGTTTTGCCTTTTTCGGTAGGTGGCGCAATAGGTTTCACTCGGAATTCGCTTAGGGCTTTTTACAGTGTACGTAAGTATAAGATTTATTAATAACTCAACTATAACGCCATCTATCGGGTTTACATTTAATGATTTTCTTTTGGCACTAAAGCAAAGTATATTGAGAATACAAACAATTTGGGTCCATAAATATTGATTTTGTTGATAAATTGAAGTCCTCCTATCGAATCCCAGCTTAGACATAAACCATCATCTCGACAAAACTATTATGAATATAACTTAATCAGGCTATATTCCTATCTCCTAAATCCTATAGATGTATGTTTGTCTCTTCTTAGATTGTTTTGAGTCGCTTTTTCGTGTCATTGAATTTCAAATCACAATGCTAAATAATTTTTCACTTCAAAACACTGCGTTTGCTAACCCGCTTGCCAAACGTGGCAACTGTGGCAAAATTCCACTGAGGCAATCTATGCGGGAGGCCTATGCTCAGGAGTGGACTTTTATAGGCTGTAATTGATGAATGATAACCTCAATCCATGAACTCGTTCAGAAGTTACACGATGACCAAAAGCCACACAAACGATCATACATAATAGTATATTATAAAGCACATTTTCTTAACTTAAAAAAAACTGAAGCTTATAAAAATATAGAATATAGTCCAAAATTTTCTAATTCCGTATAAAACCTACACGTTTCGATAGCGCGACTGTTTAGGACAGGTGAACCTAACAAAACTAAAAGGTATTTTGTGTGACAGCAGAACGTAGAACATGGTCCAGTCAATTAAGTTTTAACCTCGGGATGAGATATAATAAGCTACAAACTTGTATAAGATTTTGTGTGGGCATCTATATATTAATGCGTGAAAACTTTGTACCGTCTTTGTTTTAAGAATACTGATTCCTCGTGAGATTTAGCATAATTAAGATTTATATGGGAAATGTGATAGAGCATAAAATTCTCTACAAATCCGGTCTTAGGCAGGCAATATTTCTTACAGATAATCGTGCCAAATATTACAAATTAGACACTTCCAAAAGATTAACAAGACGAGTATATTAGTTATTGACACAAAAATTAAAACGGCGGAGGCTTCATAATTTTTTTCCATCATTCATTTCTTATTGATAAAATAGGCTGTGAGCCATTCCATCTGTAATCAAAGATGTCAACGCATTCGTAGCCTTCATTGTCTGAATGTGGCTGGAGCAGTCCATGGACTCCAAGAGCCACTTACCGTCAGGTGGATTGTGACTTCGTTTGCCACTTGAGTTTTATAAAAATAATTGTCTTGCTAAAGTCAATACCAACCAATAGGGTTTCATAGTTATCGCATACAAGTCCATACAATTTTCTAATATTTTGAAACATTTTATGGTCGATTCTTGAACTTTAATGCTACATAACGTAATGAAAGCAAAACAAAGTCATGCTCGAACTTCCAAAACTATGCTATATTTAAGGTAAGCGGAGCATACGCAGAAACTTGGCACCGTGGACTAGTACTAGAGGCCCTAATGCGAGACGGCCTTGCCCTAGTGAACGTGACGCGGCGGGAGCTGGCAGACGGATTGCGGGCCCTCGCAAGAAGGCAACGGGACGCGCGTCTTACATCCGCTGACTTAGAAGCAGCCTTCACACGCTATCTTAAGGACAACTCATACAGAATGGACCTAAAGGTTTTATTCAATACTTTGACATTTAATATCACGACAAATTTGTTAATAAACAGAATATCAGTCTTTTTATTTCATAAAACAGTGTGACAATAAAACTCTTTTTTACTATAAATTGGAATATCTGACTTATCAATGCAATAATATCTTACGTCATAGTACTAATAATTGCTGCTTCCTGTCAATATAGATTAAAAATAAATGCAAAAATGTATTATTGGCTTTTGGCATAGCGCTACTTATAAAAAAAAGAAATGAATTTTATGCGAAAGTCGGCCATGTTCTTCATAATCAAACTTTAAATTCAATAAATATTTCTAATTTATATATTTAGTTCAGAATTTTTTTAAATGTTGTGTAAAATGTAATACACCAAATTTCAATTACAGATGCAAGAGGTTCTTGACACTCAGAAACGCTTTGTAGACTCCTGTCAGCGAGTGCAGCTCGATGACCCTACACATGTTGCAGACGTGTTAGACAGACTGATCGATTCGCTCATTAATAAGTAAGTGACTTTAAACTTACATTCGTCAAAATTTTGAAAGCTTATTCTATACAACATCTACATTTTACAACGATAAAGCCCTATTGTATAAAAGAATGTTCATTAAATGAAATATTATAATAACATACGTAGCAGGTATAATATCATTACTCTTTAAGTCTATCATTTTAAAAACGACAAAGCACCAGGAGAAGATGGAATTATAGTAACTTTTGTAAAATATTAAAGCGGGTAAAAAAACCGGTAGGTTAGCCTCTCAAAAGCACTCTTTCAGGGTGGTCTACAGCTACGCTAAAGACCTCGTCTCGCACCCAGTTCCTTCGCGAACTAACTAGTTTTCGTCAGTACCCCACTGTAAAGTGTAAAGAACCGGAGACCCTTTTTACTGAAAATGTGGCATTCCATCTTAGTCCTCACGGGTGACAACGCATCTGCATTTTGATTCTTAGTTGAGAATAAATGTGAATGTCTATGAAGCCACAGCATCCGCTTACCATCAAGAGGACTGTGTGCTCGTTTGTTACTCTTATTTTATAAAAAAGTACTGGATGGAGTAACAACTTGATGAAGCTTACGGGGAGTCGACGGTTGCAGGTGTGTCAGGACCGTGCTATTTCAGGTTTTTGAGGGAAACTTATGATCAACGGTGGACTTGTGAAGAATTGTAATGACGATAATGAGGATCGTGATGAAATTATCAGATTTTAACCTTTTGATCTTTAAAACTTATGTTAGTTTTTAGTTAACAGTGGACGATCACAATAATCTTTGCTATCGTAAGAATTGATTAAGGAAAGAGAGAGCTCCAAATTTAAACTATGTACTTAGTTTAAGTCAACTGCATAGGAGCTTGTATGAAGTTAACTCCATTTGGGGCCCGTGACCAAGACAAAGAGCAGGCGTGTTTATTGTGTTAGTGATGATTTGAGTATTATTCGTGGGACTATTACATTCGTTTACTAAGTCATTCATTTTCAACAGAACCGCGGCAACTTTCCATGAACTGCAAAGCATTCAACTCACTATGCGAAACCACGACAACAAGATAATGAAGCTTCTCAGTAATGGACGGTCAACACAGGTACACATTTAATATGGTTAAAGAAAGAATGGATATTTTTTTATATGAGAAGAGTCAAACTAGCATGCGGCACACCTGATGGTAAGTATAAGCCGTCTCAAAATTCGAAAGTCGTGTTGGACGAAAATAGACCGTAAGAGTTCGGCTTTCTCTTTTACAGAATAGGCCAGTAAGTCATCTTCCCTCTGCAGAGATAGCAAGGATGGCTGACGAAAGGGGAACTTCCCTTGGACGGCCTTGTCGTTAATTCAGAATGCATGGGTTCCCGACGAAAAACGAACCAGTCTTTCGCAAATTTTGCCGTTGTGCAATGACTTTTCCTTGGCAATTACTCTTTTAAAGGACCTAGAGGCGGAATTATACTTTTTCTTAAGAGCGCTGGTATTTTCATCCCGGAACGTCGATGCGTCAGCCCAGACCTGATAGCACTTCTGCATGTGTCGTGATGAAATTTTACGGAAGGATTTTTTTAAACTATGGCTGGAATCTGCTTCCGATGGATACTACTGATGATGGAATAAAAAGTTCCAATCCATAAAATACCCCATCAGCAACAGAGTCAGCAACAACGTTTGGATACCCGGCTAGAAGCATACGAACAGCGAGAAGCAGCTGTAGTGCAATACACGGCGGCAGCCTACAGAACGCAACCGCGATAGGAGTGTGAGTGGCACCATACTTCGGATCAGACAATGGTCCGGAGAGCCGAGTGGGGGGTATCGACGGAGATCTGATATCCGTTCAGATGAAAGGTCAGCAGAAGGTCTAATAGGGAAGTAGGCGAAGTAACCAGTTGTGTGAGAGTATATGCCACGGCAAAGTCATAGACACATCTTCCCGCATGATCGGTTGAATAGAAACCAAACCGTTCAGTGTGGTGGGCGTTGAAATCGAACAATACGAACTCCGTGAATGGGATTCACGGAGTTCGTGATCCTTCGTGATGGTTATAGCGCGGAATCTGTAGCAATTTGGATAAGTGGTGGTCGATAAGTCGGTCTGTACCGGCATTACCGCTGTGGGGCTTATAAAGGCACCTGTAGACGCGAGGAAGGTCGTCACTGCCTACGCGTAGCCAAAGAATAGATACTAACGTCGAAAACGATATCCTCTCTGACATATACGCAAACTCCGGTTATGTTGCTGTATTTGCCCCGCGCGGTGTTATTATTGAATTGAATATTAATATTAAATTTATAATTTTGTTAAAGTTCACTATGTGTATATTCATAATACGTTCGTAATACGATTTTTTTCTTTAATATTCAGACAGACGCAACGTGCAGAAGATTAGAAAACCTATTCCGAAACGTATCTCAATCTACGATGAAAGAGAACGAACTACACCAGCTAACAGAAAAGTTTGTCGGTTTAACTAACAGAGCTGATGCGGCACTCCAGCGGTTGGAAGCACAACTGGGATATGACATAAACGAACCAACACCACCCACATCCGAAGTCAAAGCCGCTGCGGATCGCTTACTTCTCCGCCTGAATGGAATCAAGTAGGCCTCTATATTAAATACATTAATTTCTTTTACACGCTTATATATTTGATAGATATTTCCACATTTACACAGTGACACTCATTCTCTCAATCTCCGATCTTCACACAATTTATTACCGTCTACTCCTCTCCACCATTCTGGGTTTATGTCAAATTCTTTCACAGTAACTTCCATCTCCCTTTGGAACAAATTGCCTGCTGACCTGCGAATAATACCTGCAAAAAACGTTTTTAAAAGAAAACTATACGAACATATCCCTAACTAACAAATTTGAGTCCACTTAATTTATATGTTTACAGTTATTTGTATATACATTTAATGAGATACATAACATAACTCATCTAACTTAGTGGTTGTTTATTGTGCAGTGTGTGTTCTTGCGTTGTCGTGAAGCAGCAATGGCCTAGAGCGATTGACCAATCTCGGTTGTTTAGCAGCTAGTTCTTCCTTCATGGTTTATGAACATCAATTTAACTCCTTACATATTATTGTAAATTAAACAGCATTACATATATACATATGTATATGTTGACAAAAATATTGACAGCATTATGTAAATGTAAAGCCATATATTTTTACAGGAACGAAGAGATATCAAACGAAGATGATGAATGGGAAGAAAGCGACCAAGATAACGAATTCTTTGACGATGGTGGAGGTGGTGATATGATGGATGAAGACAAAGAGATTCTAAACGGCGCTTTTGAAAAGAGCAAGCATACTGAAAGTATAACAATCAGACCACCACACCGGAGACATCTGCATAAACATCCATACGACCGTGGTCCAAGTTGGAGAAATACACCCACAGCTTAAATTTAACCTAAATTAATAATATCTATATATAACATATCGATGTTTTATTTATCCATGTTAAAGATTTCACGCTCAGGTCATACGGCCGATATGGCTTTAGTGTTAGTTGTTTATGAGTTCTGTGTATCTTAGTTATGGTTGCCAGATGGTCGAGATTCGTTTGGATTCTCCCGACAATTTAAATGATATCCATACTCCCGACAAAACTAAAAATCTCCAGACAAACAACTTCTCGGAAAGTTAACGTATGATCTTTGATTTAATAAAAGCTGAGTTAGTAATTAGACTGAACTTTATAGTAAATTGTTTGAATTTTAAATCTTTTCTGAATACTACAATGGATCCAAATTCATAGACCCTAGTGAAGTCCAATGCCAAATACATGTGGCAAACTAAAATTAAGTGTACTTAAATTACTTTTGTTTAAAGTACTTCTTGTGCCTTCCTCTCTAAAAAATAAACATTTTATTTTTAATATTTATTTCTTCCGACAATAATCCCAAAATCCCGATATATTCAAAACTTGTCCGGATATTCTAGGGTATGTTCCGAAATACAACCCAGTACACTGTTAAATGCTAATGACGTCATCAATTGACACTATATTGTACTGCCGTGCCGCCGCCATATTGCGTCGGATATCCTGCCACAATAAAACAAAATCTAACTGTGTGTGCGCTGAATGAAGCATGCCAGAATTTGTTTCTATTTATTCAAATACAAAAAATTATAGAATAATTGCTGGTATATCCATTAGGAGGATATAATGATTTTTGGATCACAAAATGACAAAATATTCGCCAACACTTTTCTAAATGGCGCAAAAGTATTACGTCATATACTGTCCAATGTTTTGGAACGAATCACCAGTATAGCGTCAATTCATGACGTCATTTGCATTGGACAGTACACTGCGTTGTATTTCGGAACATACCCCTAGTCTTGTGATCTGGTAAACCTAATCTTAGCAGTGTTTCGAGTGTTCCAAGACTACTACTACTATTTTAAATTATTATCAGGAAGATGTATCTTCTGTTTTAGTTCCTCGCTGCCGCCTCTTACGACACCCATGGGACGATATGAGGTAGTGGGTATTCTTACACCGTCACTACATGGTCAAATAAATTATTATTATTACAACTCAATACTCATATACAGTAAAGCCACACTGCATCGCTGTCAAAGTACGTACTAGTCTTCTACGGATGGTAAAAGAAAGACAATGCGCCAGCAACAAGATTCAGTCAGGTTGGCAAGAAAGCGTCAGTGTGAGGATGCACAAAATATTCGGTACTAATGACTGAAGACATATTGGTATCCAAATGCTTCAAAGGTAAGTAACGTCGACTAAAATATGCTTGCCGAAGAATCGCCAAGTGCATCACATGTCAGGGAAATTTTGCTACGACTGACTCGCCTTGACGCGTCTAAATCGACTCGGAGAAGCAGATTAATAAAAATTTGTCTACGTGCAGCCGTTATTTTATATTTATTTTCACATAGTATGATGAGTCGTGATAGAAACTATTTTAATGTAAAATATCGTGTACCCTGTATTTAAGTGCTCGCCGCATTTATTTCTCTAGGACATAAAAGCACGACTTGCGATTTATGACCGATTTACCTCTAGACGCCTATAATGAACACAACACACGCAACTCGACGTATTTTACTTTATCAAGAATCAAGAAAGTGACACAAATTACTATTTAAAAATGTATTTATTGCTTTTCGAAGTATTCTCCGCGAAATTTGACACATTTTTCCATACGATGAAACAATCATTGAAACAACATTCCATTCGGGTGGCTTTTGTAGGCGTCCACAGCTTCTTCAGGTGATGACAATCTCTGTCCACGCAATTTATTCCTTATTTTAGGGAAAGTATAGAAATCATTAGGGCTTAGGTCGGGGCTGTACGGCGGATGGTCTAATAATTCTATGTTTTCTTGCTCTAAAAACTCTTTTGTTCTGTGTGCGGTGTGAGAACTCGCATTGTCGTGATGGAGGATGACGCGGCGGTTGCAGTTCTCTTTACGGAGTTCAGAAACGACCTGTGGCGAGCAAATGCTAGCATACCATTCTGCATTAACCGTTCTTTGTCCCTCAAGAGAAATAGTCGTAACATGGCCGGTTTTGGAGACAAACGTGGCCACCATTTTTTTGCAACACTCTGTGAACGAACAATTTTTGTTGGCTTTAACTTATTTTTGAACACCCAAACCCGTGACTGATTTTTTTTTCGGATTCGTACGCGTATATCCAGGATTCGTCACCTGATACGATGTGGTATACAGCATTTGAGGACCCTGCGTGGAATCTTTCGAGAGTTCTGACGCACCAAGTAACGCGAGCCGCTTTTTGCTCTTCACAAAGCGAATGCGGTATCCATCGGGAAAACCACCTAATTGTTCATGCAAGATTATTTGTATTTGACTCATGCCAATGTCTACACGTTGCCTGAATTTCGCGGTATGTCACATGTCGATCTTCCTCAATCAGCTTACGCACAGCATCAACGTTTTCATGGGTGACTGCAGTTTTTGGACGACCTTGACGGGTATCATCACTGAGTTTGACACGTCTACGTTGAAATTCAGTAAACCAGCGATAAATTGTGGTTTTGGATGGGGCTTCATCACCAAATGCAGAAATCATCCGGTCAACACACTGTTTTTGTGTTAAACCACTTCGAAAGTCTTAATAAATCATCGCTCTTGAATTTTCTCGAGTCAATTCCATTTTCTCAACTACTAAACAAGTTTGACAAAACCTTGTGACAAGACCGAGAATCTTTTTTTAAATAAATAAATAGTATTCGATTTTTAAAACCAAGGAGTTTTCAATTAAAAAGATTTTAATATGACAGGAGCCGTGGAAATATTCCATTCCCGATAGTTTTAGTGCAGCCTAGTATATACAATGTCGCCCATCGGCAAGTGACCGCCCGGGATATTCTGCATGTACATGAAAAATTATCGGTAAAAAACCCTAAAAAGGGGGGGTCTATCTTAAATACTTTTTAAGTTATTGAATTTTTAATTTTTTGAATGATGTTGGTCACCTTGTTCCACACTTTTTGCTCTAGCTCCAATGCTACGGGCACGATTTCGATTCTGTTTTCTTATTTCATCAGGTTAATAAGTTGTTTTGTTGGATTACGTAACATTTTTAGTTAAAATAAGGCGAATCATAAAAATAAACGTAGACAAAGACATTTTTTCTAAGCAAAAAAGTGATATTTATTTACAAAAACACGTGTAAGTACATAAAATGCCCCCCTTAACATGGGCTTTTTACTCATTATTAATAATCTAGAGCATAACTACTACACATTTACAATACACTATCAATATCTATCTCTTAAAATTTTTTAATAACAGCGTGTCAAAAATTTGCTCCATATCAAGCAAAAAAAAGGTCATCCAGGTAGAAACCGGTTCTTAGAGACCGCTAGATAACGCACGTGCGCACTCTTCTCGGTTGGTTGTTTGTGCATCATTCAGTCGCTCGATTACTGATCCCGGGACGTTACGTGTTTTTTAATTTGTGCGCTATTTATCTTTTCGAGGACCATTCCTGTGCGTTTCAAGCATCGTAATGCTACGATTGCGTGATTTACCGCCTTCTCACGTAGCTGATATGCATTTTGTATACGGTTTTTGTGATGGGAATGCACGTTCTGCTGTCGAAGAGTACAAACGTCGTTATCCAGGTAGGCCAGTACTTGGGTACCGGTCCTTCATTGCTGTGCATCGTCGTTTTTGTGAGCAAGGACTTCCACGACAAAATGAGCCTGGCGTGGCACTTCACGTGGACATGGAAGAGGAAGTGTTAAGATTAGTGCGCGCTGACCCTATGACAAGCATTCGTCTCTTGTCAATAAGACTGAATGTACCAAGAATAACAATCTGGAGAATTCTTAAGAAAGAAGGCCTCCATCCTTATCACTTCCGGCGTGCTCAACATTTGGAAGATGTGGATTACCGTGCGAGATCTGTGTTTTGTAGCTGGATTTTATCGCAACAAAGAACCAATCCTGAGTTTCTAAAGAAGATTTTGTGGACGGACGAGAGTACATTCACAAGGGCGGGTATTACAAACCACCGAAATCTTCATGTCTGGGCCGCTGAAAACCCACACGTCAGAAGAAAAACATCTTTTCAGAAAGAATTTTCTGTTAATGTATGGGCTGGAATAATTGACAATATGCTCATTGGCCCTTACGTATTGCCTCACAGGCTAGATCAACACGCATATTTAGATTTTCTCCAAAATACGTTGCCCTCACTTTTGGATGAAGTGCCGCTGGCAACGAGAAGAAGAATGCATCTGCAACTAGACGGAGCCCCAGCACATTTCGCACGACTAGTGCGAAATTATCTGAATGAAAATTATCCGCGATGGATCGGTCGAGGAGGCTCCGTTGCTTGGCCGCCGAGATCGCCCGACCTGACACCCTTAGATTTTTATTTATGGGGATTCATGAAACAGAAGGTGTATGCCGCGCGCATTGAAAGCCGCGAACAATTAACGGCTAGGATTTTTGCTGCCGCAGAGGAAATTAAAGAAAATCCTGCAGAATTACTGCGAACAACCAGTAGTGTAGCCACGAGGGCTTTTATTTGCTTACAGGAGGGTGGGGGCCATTTTGAAAACTTAATTAATTAAAATTGTTGTTTTTTTTAATCATGCCTGTTATTTTTATTATAAATAGGCATTTCTGCATTAATAGTTTTAACTCTATGTCGCCATGTCGTCCGCATCAATTATAAATATATAATGAGTAAAAAGCCCATGTTAAGGGGGGCATTTTATGTACTTACACGTGTTTTTGTAAATAAATATCACTTTTTTTGCTTAGAAAAAATGTCTTTGTCTACGTTTATTTTTATGATTCGCCTTATTTTAACTAAAAATGTTACGTAATCCAACAAAACAACTTATTAACCTGATGAAATAAGAAAACAGAATCGAAATCGTGCCCGTAGCATTGGAGC